TGTTTTGCGAAATTAAGCAGTCTTCCATGCACATTTCAGTCAGGCAAACTTATCTTATAATCTACCATCGATTATTTTGCTGAAATACACTTCAGCTTAAAACTTCAAAGGTACCTTTGAGGTGAAACTTAATTGCTCCCTCCTTAACATTCTGTCTAAGATTTCCAGTTTTCCGACTTTCTAACGTTAACGACTGCAATATAAAGATTTGATCTATTCTTTTTCTAAATACCAGTATTACAGAATGCATAATTAAACGCTAAATGACTCTTTTTCCTAAAATGTCTTAGAAAATCAGCTAATAAATGTATTCTAATTATGGCTTATTCTTCAATTACAAAGGGAAAAACCTGTGGTCGGTAACGCCCCATGACAAGGAGTTCCGTTATGGAAGTCAGGGAGATCCATGAGTACTTATTATCCGTTTTCTTCAGCTTAACATTTACGTGTATTGCCGACGTCAATTACCTATAATTATTTCTATTCATAAGTCGTGTAGACATATCCCAGTAAAAAATTAAAGACATCAGAAAGTTTGTCAAAGCACTGAGGCATATTTGCTTGTTTTACGAACTTCAGAGGACGACGACCAATGAACAACTAAACTGTAGGGTAAAGGAAGTTATTTAAACTGTCCATCGTCACTTCCCCATCGTTCCAAATACTTTTCTATTACTTATATATGTATATGGTGTTCATGTTTCCAATCTTATTCGATACACAAGGAACGAAGGAATTGTTGCTGTAATTAATGATTCAGACTACTGAGATAAACCTAAACTCATGTTATTAAAATGCTATACCACAGAGTCTGACACATCTGTTTTATAATTGGATATTTTACCTGAAAAAGACGGCAATGGTTATCTACCAACCAAGCTCTATGATAAACGTGATGACTAACTTTTCAATCCTCAAATTCCCTTACTTATGCAGCAATAAATCTTCATCACCTGCATGCGGAGTGTTTATATCTCAATTGATTTGATACGCAAGAACATGCTCTATGTATGAACAATTTCTTCAACAAGGTAAATTATTGACAAACAAGTTGATGTCACAAGAATATTAGCAGTCTCGTTTAAAGTTATCATTTCGTAAGATCTATGGTCAATACAATGACCTTGTCAGCAAATAAAATTTATCATTGAAAATGCTGACTGGCGTTTTTCATAATTGTTAGTCCATTATTTACACGCTGAATTGACGACGGATTTTCCCATTATTTCCCGATCATAACAAGGAGCACACGGCGGGTGTGACCCGTCGGCAGGGGATGCTCACTCCTCCATGGCACCTGATCCCACCTCTGATGTTTTGGAGGTCCGTGTTTGCTCTGCTCCTGTTTTGAATTGTTTTATGGACTTTTGATCTTGAATACTGTCCGTTATCTCCATATGTTTCATAATTAGAAAGAACAAAAATAAAAATATCCGCCTAAAATAAAGGCTCGTTGCGGGCCTGACCAGTAAACAGGGATGTTTACACCCTTTAGCATTTGATCCCACTACTGGACTTTTCAGAATAATAATACATTGCTCACAGATTTGTATTTTTGAATATTTGATGACATCGATCACTGTTCTTATCTTCATTTATAATTTTTTTTCTTTTAACCACTTTACATTGATATTCTTTGAAATGTATTACACTAAGGTGACTGTTAAGGCCCTTGAGCTTCTTGTTTAATTATAGAGAATATTTTTGTAACTTCAATTCATCGCTATCATTTTTTTCTACGAGTAGACGCGTAAAATGGCAATTAGAAAATTGCACAATGTGACTGATTGCAATATCGATATGCAATTAATCCATTTGTTTGTAACGAGTACAACGCCTAGCCTCAGTTTTGATATTCTGGCAAATAAAAGAATTTCTCTATTTCTAATGGCCTGGACAAATGCAAAACGTAATCAGCAAAATGCATAAAAAAGATCAAATAATTATCCTTTTTGTCAGATTGGAGCCATGTATGAGAACTATTCTCAGTGAAACATTTCTCGTAACATCGACAAAACATTTTATTTACAGAGAACATTGCACATTGACACAAATGAAAAAGAATTTAAATGCGATTTATACAGCTCAACAAACTTTTTAAGCTCACATGGTTTTTCGCACAAATTAAGGTCACATTGTTATGATATAATATTGAGTATCGATACATTTTAAAAATATTTGTTTACATAATTTGAGTCTTATTTCATTTACTGAAACATAATTCACACAAATCAATTGGTAGAACTTTGATATACATGGCTAAAACTAACAACTATTCTCATTTGAATTTTTGTGGTTTCTTGCCAACTGCAGCTGTTTTTTTATCCGTTCTTTTGAAAACAATAGCTCTTGGCAGAAACGTAGACATGGGCACAGTATAGCTACTGTAACTTGTATTTTCTGTACATATTGACTTTTTAACTCGGGGTTGTAACAGTTTTTTCATATGTTTGACTGTTTTCTATGTTAGAAAAAACTTCTAAAATCTAGAATCAAGAAAGATTCATCCCATTGCAAAATTTGAAAAATAAATGCATAAGAATTTTCCTTTTCATAGAAGGAATTTACGATTAAAAAAAAATAAACAATACTTCATTATCCTACCCTTTAATGTGGTTTCCTTTGGCAATATTATCCCTTTTCGGTGCTACATTTCGACGAAACCAAGAGGAGTATGTATGATAAATGAGCAAAGATTTTTTAAGATACTCAACTTTAGGAAGAAAATTTAAAAATTTCAATTACATTGGATCAAGGAAAGCTCGTTTTATACAATTTGTAATAACCTATGTTAGAATCGTATTGTCGAATCATCCTACCATTTACTTATAAATATTCCTTTAAAACATCCGCTTTGGAAACTTAAGATGATAATCTTAAAAGACATTTATGCTTGACATTATATATGTAATATAACGATGGGCTAATTGTACTGCAGTTCCAAATTGTTTTTAACAACAATGTTTAATTTGTGCGAAAAACCATGTGAAAAAAGTTAATAGTGTATTCTATGTTCCGTTTTTTTTTGCTTCAGAGAAAAAACTTCAAAGTAAATAAAAATTATAGATTAAAAAATATGAGGCGTTGGGCATATCAATAGAACGCTCAATATCATACTAGTTATGCAATCAGAAATTCAATCTGTTTAAGTTGTTAGGAAATTAAATACGATCTCTCAGGACAATTTAGCATGATTATTTTTTTTTAACTTCTTTGCAGAAAATATTCAACATTTCTGTCTGATGCAAGCTCCAACGACAAAATTTGCAATCAGACCTATCATTTATTTCGAAGACATGAAATACCGAAACATAAAGAAGACAAATAAATTAAGATCTACTCGAATCGCCAGTACCAGCAGGATAATTTTCCTAAAGAATACAATACAAGTCAGTTTATAATAGGACACAAATTTCCAATGGAAGACCTAATGTCTTATAACTGCATAAATACTGCATTTTTGAATATCCATTTCAGAGCTCTTAATTGTAGCGTCAAAATAATGATATGAACAATTGCTAAAATGAGGTAAGTTATTGACAAACAAGTTGATAAAATAAGAATATCAAGAGTCTTGTTTTAAGCCATTATTTCGTAAGTTTTCTGGTCGATACAATGACCTTGTCAGCATATTAATCTTTGATTACGTCAAATACGGATTGACGTTTTTCATACTGTTGTTAAGCTATTATTTACAAACTCAATTGTCAACAGATTTTCCCTTTATTTCCCGATCATTACTTGGAACAAATTTTCAGATGTGACCGGTCGACAGGGGATGCGCGCGCTTGATCCCATCTCTAATGATTTAGAGGCCCGTCTTTGCTCTGCTCCTCATCTGTATTGCTTGAATGGACTTTTGAGCTTGAGTGATGTTCGTTTTCTCTATATATTTCATTCTGATGTAAAAGTTAGTAAATAAATTATTCTAAAAATGGGTCTATCATTAATTGGTAACCATTTGTTCCATGGGAATTCGAACATATTGTTGGAAGGCTTGATCTCCAAATATTACCTGGGGTCTAGATATAGTGAATAAGAAAATGATCTGTTATCATCAGCTTCAGAGTACATTTTTGTACAATCAGAATGTTATTTAACAAAATATTTTTCCAAAGACCATTGACAAGGTAAATAAGTTTCATTTTCTTGAAAAAAGAATCTGTTAGTGAACAATGTCAGGGTATGTTTAATTTAATTTATCGAGAGGAGAGGAGTTGGAAAGGTGAATTTTTAAAGTAATTTTTAAAAGATTCTTTGAGTCTGCTCTAGAGTCGCGAGGGAAGGAGATGATCCTTACGTCGTGGGTTCGAATCCTACCGTGGGACGAGGAGACTGGTCCTTGAGAAGAGAAACTGAGGTCCCGTTTCGCAGTAGGTGTTGGCACGAAAAAGATCCCTCACTGCTCAATAGTGCTGAGTGCCGAGTATAGGACACAATTTACATATGAGTGAAATGTTCTCGAGAGGGACGTTAAACAACAAACAAAGAAACTATCCATATGTGATTTACAACATGTCATGAATATATCATTTTACAAAGCTTCCGAACTTTTTCCCTCTCTGTTGATAATTTATTTATTTATTTATTTTTTGTAATTTTCAGTATATCTCAAACATTCTCTTTTTGCAAATGAAGCAAGAGTTAAGAAAAACAAGACAATACGCCCCCTCGTTTAATATACAATAAAGGAATAAAGGAAAAACAAACTCAATAAGGTGTCTTCTGTCTTTCCTCTCCTTATATATGGAGACCAGAAGTCTGAAGAAATAGAATCGTTCATTAATTAAATAAACAACTGACAATAAATAGGCATCGGAAAATTATTTCCATGGCAATCTGCTGTTGAGGATGATAATTGTTGGCATTCTCCTCATATTTTTCATCTATGCTGTCAACATTGACAGATTTGATCATACACAGCCCGCCATCCTTTAATGATAAAAGACTAAGGGAGTTTTCAAGGGATTTTTCTGATCTAAAAACAATTGTTTTATCACTCGTTCAGGATTCTGTTTAATAATTACATTTACTAAAATATGCAGGAACTTGTTTATAAAATGAGATGATAGAAACATTATTAAAATTTTGGAGGTTTATATTTGTGAAAGAATTTTAAATGCTCTGTGGAAGTGCGTGCCTTAATTCAGCTATGTGATAACAACTTTTAACATCAAATGAAACTTATTTATGTTTAATATTATGAAAAGCCAAAAAATGAATGAAGTGTCAAAATAATTTTCGCTTTTTCCCTCGCTTTAGTACCAGCGTTTGTTAACCAGATTAAGTAGCTCAGCTGTTTCGCTGGAATTTCTTTGGGCTTACAAGACTTTATAAATAAGGATGGTCGATCGACAAAGTCAGTGGAACCTGAGAGCAGACTTCCTATGTAATGACAGGTTGAGGAGTCTGCAACGACAGCGCTAGCTAGTGCTCGCAAAACTGTTAGAAAGATTTTCAAGGTGATATCTCATCTGATTTAATTTAACTTTGAAAAATGTATTTGGTGAATAACACTACTCAGAGCCAGTGCACAGACGTTTTCTCCAATGAAGCCGTGAACACAGTTTTCGTTGTGATTTACATACTGATTGGAGTTTGCGGCTTGTTTGGGAACATTTTGGTTATTTACGTTATCCTGAATTCGCCGAAGATGAAAACGGTAACCAATTTATACATTTTTAACTTGGCTCTCTCAGATTTGATATTTTTACTGCATATTGCCATGATCACAACTACTACTATTGTCAAGCACTGGGTTTTTGGAGAAGCTGTGTGTAAGATATTCTTTATGACGGCATCTGTCACGACGTTTTCCAGCGTTTTAACGTTAACAAGTCTAAGCGTGGATCGCTATATAGCCGTTTGTAAGCCTGTTATATCTCAGAAACATCGACAACGACTGAAAGCTATCTTGGTCATCGTGTTTATATGGCTTCTGTCATTATTACTCTCAATGCCTATAATTTTATATTCAAAAAGAACGATACATCCTTATTTGGAAGGAAAATATTCATGCCAAGTAGATTGGCCTGATGTAAAGGTCGTTCCTGCGTATATCATATACACATTCATTCTGGGATTTGGAATTCCTCTTTGTTTCATTTCAACATTTTACACCTGTGTAATTATTCATATGAAGAGTTCTGGACCAGTCAACAGACAAAGATCAACAGAACAACGCAAAAATCACAGGAAAGTCACGTACCTTGTTTTTGCCATTATTTTGACGTACGTCATTTGTTGGCTCCCATATTGGGTACTACAAATCGTTCTTGTAGTGTTGAGTCTGTACAACAGAGCGATAGATACAATAGCAGTAGCGTTACATATATGTACAGTTTTAACCTTTGCTAACAGTATGATCAATCCAATTTTGTATGCTTTCATCAGTGAAAACTTTAGACAGAGATTCAAGGAAGTTTTCACGTGTCGGTGCATTTTTAAAGAACGGATTCGCTACATCTTAACTCAAGGTTATACCAACACAACTCAGCAAGATGAACATGAATTGGTGCGGAGACACGTGAGTAATCCAACCGAGACCGAGACAGCTCCGGATCAACAGGACAGTCTGGACAGGAAGGACAATGGAGGGGTGTACACGGGGCTATGAAATGAACAGTCTGATTTATCAGCCTATTATATCGCATCTGAGAGTCGTATACTGGTGCATAATGTGCTGATTCGTCTCTCGCGGTTTACTTGAACTGAAACAGTTCTTAATCAGACTAAATCAAAACCGAAGATACCAAACTATGGTAATTCTTGATAAGTATTTACCTTCTGTTTGGAAAAAAATAATGAATTTGCAAAGATCGTCTTATTAATATATATAGGAATAAAGAATTTGGCAGTCTTAAAAAGGAATTTAAAGCGATGCCTATTTCTTGAGATTAATTTGATATAAAATGTAAGCACTTAATCATTTTTATTTTTTTAATAATAAGATTTTTTATCGATGTTATAATTTTGTGCATTAAAGTAGATAGCATATTAAAAAAAATTAAAGTAAATACAAAACCTTAATGAAATATTATTTTGAAAATGTATCAGAAAATCTGGCAAACGGGATATTTATATTCACTTTTCGATAAAGCTGTTCTCAGAAGTTTTTATGGGAATTCGTATGCATTATAAACACAACATGAATGGACCATTTTCTAATAAAAGTTTATGGCTTAAGAGGTTTTATCGAATATGTCAGTACTGTGAAAAACAATTTGACCTACTCTTCGATTCCCTATTTTTTGCCAAATGGATGAAAAAAAAAATTAAAAAGAGTGAAACAAAACGAACAGAAATTTCTGAAGAGTACGGATGCCACAAAGCTTTTTTTGTGCACTTGATCCGACAAAAATTACAACCAAGTCTGTAAAAATAACAATGAACATTTTAATTTGTAAACTATACACTTTTATTTTATTTTACAATTTAATCTGTGAATATATACAGATAATAATCAGTATTTCAGCACAACAGTCCACTAAACAATGCACATTTTGGAGCAGAGCAAACACGGACCTCTTTACATCATAGGTGGGATCAGGTGCCATGGAGGAGTGGACATCCTATGCCGATCGGTGACGTCGATCAACATTTTACTTCATGATAGATTTATTTACTGAAAATGTCACTATATCCACCATAGAACTTACGGAATGATGACTTTGAATTAGACTGCTGATATCCTTATTTCAGCATGTTTGTTTCAACTTGCTTGTCAATAAAGTTACCTCGTGTTAGAAATTATTCACACGTAGAGCAAGCTCCTGCGTATCGGATCAACTGGAAGATATCCCGTTTGCAGGTGACAAAAAAATTGATGCATAATTAAGGGGAGTTAACGATTGAAAAGTTTGTATATACTGTGGAAATTTATCCACACAATGATCTTTAAAAATCCACAAAAAATACATTTGTGAACAGAGCATAAACATGCATCCCTTGGAATTCCAGAAGTAGGATCGTGTGCCTTGCAGGAGTAAGCATTCCCAGCCGACCACATCCGCCGTATGCCGTGTAATAATCGGATCTTTCAATAGTTTATTTAGTATAAAATTAAAGGCCTAACAGTTGCTTTTGGTAAAAACCGTCAAAATGTGACCAAATGATAGGTTATATTTCCTCATTAGGTTATTATACCAATCATAGAATTATCTTAATGTTGACTGTAAACGAGGTTGTTGAAATTCCTATAACATCAACTTTTCTGTAAATAGTCATTGAATAAGTTAGAAGATATACGTCCACATCGATGGAAAAGTTGAAATTATCTCTTTTTTGTTAGTTTGTCCTTATCATCTAAAGTCAATAAAACAAAGGTTATTGCCCATTGGGATTCCAACAGTTTTATTATTATTGATTTTATTTTTTTTGAGAAACCGTAGATTACAGAAATTTTATTCATTAGGAACTTCATCATTTTTTTATTATCAACTTTATAGTACTTGATTGTAAAATCAGAGAGATCATCGACAAAGTAATATATCTTTTTTTATGACCAATCACATCCTAAGATAATTCTTAGTATATCGCGTTTACTTTGCTAACTTTGCTAACGTATTGCCACGCTTTTGCAATAAAGTCAAGGAAACTCTAATTCTAAGTCATTTTTTGGCATACCCTAGAGTATAACTTACTAGTATGTTTGCAATATTAGAGAATATTCCTCTTGTTTGGATTGTTTGAAGTTTCAAAAGTACTGTTTATCAGATGCAAATGGTTATATCTATATTCGACTCGAAAAAAAAATTCAAACGAAAAATATACTGTAAACGTATTATATTTGGCTGTGTATTCTTTTAAGCGGCTTTGGTGGATCGCAGCAACAGCTAAATCAAGTACATAACTAAATGTCTTGCACGTATATACATAAATAAGAAAATGAAGAAATACGCTAAATCAAATCTAAGCTAACTTATTCAAAAGTCAATTTCCACCAAATATCGTAAACGCTAAATATAATACATTTACAGTATACAGAAATGTTAAGGACCCTCTCTACACCAGTGCAAAATATTTTTTGGACATTGAGAAAATTCTACTGCATAAAGGAGTCAATATTGTGCTTATCTATCTAATTTCCAGAAAAATTTCAAGCAATAGCACTGGGGAAAAAGACGCATGATAAAAACATTACTTTAAACTTGAATTGTACAACTCTTGCCTGTGAGGATGAAGTGAAACTGCTTGGTGTTACTTTTGATTTTAACTTAAACTTCAATTCTCATATATCAAATATTTGTAAGAAAGCAGCTCGACAATTAAATGTGTTAAAACGAGTCGGGAAACATCATTGTAAACTGGGTAAACTTACCATCTATCACTCCTTTATAATGTCCAACTTTAGTTATTGTCCTCTGGTATGACATTTTAGCAGTGAACAAAATTGCAAAAAAATAGAAAAAAAAATCAAGAGCGAGCACTAAGATTCATATATAATGACTGCACAAGCAGTTATGAACAGCTACTAGAAAAATCAAACCTCCCCTCACTGAAAATCAGGCGTATGAGAGCCATGGCCCTTGAAGTCTTCAAAATTATAAATTATCAAAGCCCACTGTTCCTGCAAGATTTAGTTCAACAGCGAAATTCCACATACAGTTTTAGGTATCAAAAGACTCTGGAATTACCTAGGCCAAGAACCACTTGGTATGGAAAACAGTCATTCAGCTATGCGACTGCTACGTTGTGGAATTCTTTACCAAATCATGCTAGGGAACTTTCCACCCTCAGCCAATTTAAAACTTTCATTGAAACATGGACGGAGGGAAAAATGCAAATGTAGTTCCTGCAGAAACCACAGCATGGGGCTGCATAGCTGATGAGACAATATTTATTTGTTATTTATTCATTTAGTTTAGAAACAGTTTTTTTTTTCTTTTATATAGATCTATAAATTAAACCTTGTTATTTACTTTAACATTTCCTATAATAAGGGCCCTGGGGACTGAAACCTTTGGAGTAACATCTTATGATGGCAAAGGTGTAATCTCTCCAGGATCCTATTTTCTTTCAATATTTGGCCTCTTGAAGAATTTTTTCTTTACCCTCACAACAATGCATATCTTGCCTATGTAGGTAGGGACTGACCCAATCACTAGGCAGGATGTGTGTTGATGAGGAACATAAATTAATTATTTTTAATTTTTTTCTTCTTTTTTCTCAATTTGGTTTAGCTATGTCTGTGTGAATTTTTAATTTTCTAAACTTCAAATTTATTTATTTATCGTTTATTTATTTATTTATTTATTTATTTATTTATTTATTTATTTATTTTTTATTATTATTAATAGTACAATTAGTTATTTTTAATCTGACTTTAAGGGTTAAACGTAGTGCTTAATTTTTATTACTATCATATGACTTTTATTTATTTATTTATAATACTCACGTTATATTTATTTTTGTTCCTCTTAATGCAATCATTTTGCTTTTCAAGTTTGTTTTTTTTTTCTTTAACTAATTCTAACGAAAATACAAATTCTTAACATTTGTTTAATTCTTAAAATTCGTTTTATCTGCCATATGTATGTGTATATATGTACATGTGTTTTTGCATGTTAATTTATGTTGTAAATGTTTTCTTGTGATATTTTAACTGTGATAGTCGGTTTAAGAGCTCTGTAGAGCTCATGTTTCTTGTTATGTAATGTATACAATGCCGACTTTAAATAAAACTTACTTACTTAACACAGTGTCAGTGAATAAATATCGCTGTTAATTACTTCAGTAGAGAAAATACATGTAAATAACACGTTCAGTTAATTTATCCTGGCCTTTTAAAACGTTGAGAATACTTGAATTGATTACAAATTGAGTAATATTGTGTAAATTTCTATTTTTTAGAATTTAGTTCTAAGGGCAGATCACTCTAACTGCAGAAAAATACCTTAGAATCAGAACTCTTTAGTGTGCAGTGTAGAGAGGTTTCTTAAGAGAACTAGCATATTTCAAATTTTATCAGTTGCATCGAGCGTTCAGTAATATATTTCAACAATGTCATTTTAAAAAATTACAATGATCGATATCGTGACCGATTTAAAAGCACATGGCCCCAGCTAATTGACATTTCCTACCTCCAAAGACAGGGATTTCCCTTAAGTTAAGTGATCTGGATATCGAGTTTTTCCGATTTCCATTCTTAATGAAGAACAAGTTGTCAATATCTATTTCAAAAGCCTTACCCTTGTTTCTAATTTGAAGTGAGGAATGGTTGAATAAAGTTTAGACACGTCGTATGTTTTCGATTTTACTGACATTGAAAAAAAAATATCTGGAATTAAAAAAAATCTTTGGAGTTTTTATAAATTCCCATCTGATTTACACTACTTCTAGAATATGCCGTAGAGTAGTCTGCCTGTTCTGCAAAGCAGCAGATTTTTTTTTACAAAGAGTAAAACTAGGGGCTTTGCAGAGCATTTTCTTGTTCTACGATGTTTCTCTATTTTAAAAGATTTTTATGAATGAACTATATGGAGATTACGAATAGTATTCAAGCTCAAAAGTCCATAAAATAATACAAAATAGGAGAAGAGCAAACACGGATCTCCAAAACATCAGAGGTGGGATCAGGTGTCATGGAGTGAACATCCCTTGCCAACCGGTCTCAGTCGTCTTCTGCTCTTTGAAAAGACTGGGAAATAACGGGAAAAACTGTCGACCATTCAGTGCGTAAATCATGGCCTTACAATAAGTATGAAAGGTTGGTCAGCTTTTAACATAATGATAAAATATATTTGCTGAGAATGTCATTGTATCGACCATAGAACTTACGAAATGATGAAATTAAACGACACTGCTGATATTCTTGTTTCAGACACTTGTTTGGCAATAACTTACCTCGTTTTAAAGATTGTTCATACGTAGAGGAAAATCTTGCATATCGAATCAACTGAGATAAATAACTCCATATGCAGGTGATGAAGGTATATATT